GCCTCCGGGAGCTTGCCTTGGGAAGGCCAAAGTGGAGCCAGTCTCAGGGCCTCAGGTGTTCTCAGGCAACCCACCCCAGCCAGAAACTTCCTGAAGCTGCAGATTGGGCCCATGGGTCCTGTCTCCTCCCGGGACAGCTAGAAAGGAGCCACACTGCTGCCACAAGGATTGAGTTCCTGGCAAATGGCGGCTGGCACTACTCAAGGCGTTCTTTTTTCCTGCACTGCTGCGTATGGGCTGTGGCAGACTACAGCTGTAAGTTTCCGGTGAGGGACTAGAGTCCCACCAGGCTTGGAGCGCCCCAAGTCTATGGCAGAAGCACATATTTCCTGAATTCCCCTCACTCACCTTCCCCATTGGTCTGAGGCAGAAGGATCACCTTAGCCCAGAAGATTGAGGCTGTAGTGAGCCATGATTGTGCCACTGCACTCCAACCTGGTGACAGAGTGGAGTGAGATCCTGACTCAAAAAAAAAAGGAGGGAACCTGGCAGGTGACTGTCTCCATAAAAACAGGAGACCCTAAATGCCATACCTTCATAGTAAGGATGAATCAAAAGTACAACAGCCCTGTAGAATTAGAGATAAGTATCAATTCTTTGAGACTTTTGGGAATTTCAAGTCTTGAACTTTGCTTAGTCTACTGTGGACTGGACATTTGCCAGGTGCTGGGCAAAATCAAATGCAAATCATCTTTGGAGGGAGATACCTTCGTTGTAAAACTCATTTCCACAAATAATTTTTTAAGTACAGTGTTTACCATGCAACCAAAGGTAAATAGGTATACAAGTAAACTAAACTTTGATCAGCAAGAATCAACCAAAACAGGAACAATGGAAACAGACTTCTTGTTATAATTATATGTAAACTGTAAAACAACCATGCTTAGCACACTTAACGATATAAAATGTTTTAAGATAGCTTAAAGGAAAAGGAAACTATAGCAGTAAGTATATTTGAGAAAGGCCTATCATTAATAAATTAAAAAAAAACAGATGCTGATGAGAATGTGCAGAAAAGGGAACACTTCTATACAGTCAGTGGGAGTGTAAACTAGTTCAACCTCTATGGAAAACAGTGTGGCGATTTTTAAAAGAACTAGAAATTGACCTTTCATATGAGTTAGCAATCCCTCTTCTAGGAATATACCTGGAAGAACTCAAATCTTTCTACAGAAAAGATACCTGCACACACTTGTTTATTGCAGCACTATTCACAATAGCAAGAACTTGGAATCAACCCTGCTACCCACTGAAAGTGGACTGGATAAAGAAAATGTGGTACATATACACATGATGGTGTATTATGCAACTATAAAGGACAAAATCATGCACTTTGCAACAACCTGGATGGATTTAGAGTCTGTCGTGCTCAGTGATCTATCACAGAAACAGAACTGGATACCACATGTTTTCACTAATAAGCGGGTCCTGAACATTTATCACAATGCTACATGAGAGGGATCAGCAGTAGTGGGGCATTGCTGGCAGAGGGCGGGGGTTGGGGGATAGCATCACTAAGGGTAACTAGTCCTCAACCAGGGGAAGTGAGGACCAGTGGGAGGCCCAAACTTCACCTACATGTAGACTACTTACATACCTACTTCTGATGCGTGCCCTACATCTTAAAAACAAAAATTGAACCTGAATCTGGCCAGAATACAAATATACAGAAGACAAAAAACAAAAACATTAAACTATACCCAAGATGTAATCAGCAAAATCCACAATGAAGGAAGTTCTACAGAACAACCTGGTTTCATCAAAAATCAATTGCAAGAGAAAGGAAAGTTGGAGGAGGAATCTGTAGGTTAAAATGTCTTGAAATACATGTCAATGAAGCACAATTTGTGTACCTTATTGGAAGCTAATTCAAGCATACTATGAAAAATCGAAGACATTTATGGGTCAATTAGAATTTGAATACTTAGTATTCGATATTAAGAAGTTATGTTGAAGGCTGAGTGCAGTGGTTCATGCCTATAATCCCAACACTTCGGGAGGCCGAGAGGGCTATCTGAGATCACAGGTCCGAGACCAGCCTGTGGAATTAGAGATAAGTATCAATCCTTTGAGACTTTTGGGAATTTCAAGTCTTGAACTTTGCTTAGTCTACTGTGGATTGGACATTTGCCAGGTGCTGGGCAAAATCAAATGCAAATCATCTTTGGAGAGAGATACCTTCATTGTAAAACTCGTTGCCTGGGCAACTTGGCGAGACCTCATCTCTATAATAAATAAATTTTTAAAAAAATTAACTAGATGTGGTGGCATATGCCTGTAGTTAATAGCTACTTGGAAGGCTGAGGTTGAAGGATGGCCTGAGCCCAGAAGGTTGAGGCTACAGTGGCCATGAACGTACCACTGCACTCCAGGCTGGGCAACAGAATGAGACTTCAACTCAATAAAAAAAAAGAAATTACATCAATTTTAGATATAAAACTATTGTAGTTATGTTAAAAAATAGTCTTTATCTTTTAGAATAAATACTAGAATATCTATTAATGGGAAAAAAAGACCCACGATAGAATTTCTGAAAAAGGATTGCAATTTAAACCTCTGTGAGTGGTTTAACAGCAGATGAAGTACAACTTGAAGAAAGTATTAATGAACAGAATATAGATGATAAGAAAATTCTAGTGGGGGGCGGGGACACAGCATCAACAAGGGTACCTGACCTCAAACCAGGCAAAGTGGGGACCAAAGGGAGGCCCAAACCTTACCTGTACAATGACCATTTGTATACCTAATCCTGAATCCACATCTTTAAAATAAAATAAAATGAAAACTCTATAATTCAGTATAGAGTATAGGCCATATATATATAGCCATATATAGAAGAGAGGATAAAAAACACAGAACATAGCCTGAGATAATCTGGTTTAAAAAACACAGAACATAGCCTGAGATAGTCTGTTTAATCAGACTTCCAGGAGGAAGAGTGGAGCATGGGAAATAGTTAAAGAGATACGTGCTGGGAATTTTACAAAAGTGATGAAAAACAACAGTCTACAGATTCTAGGGACCCCATGAGTTCCAATTCAGTGAGGCCCAAATAAGATAAATAAAAAGAAATCTATACCTAGACACAGAGTGATAATACTATGGAATGAGAAAACAGGGAAAATCTTGGAAATGTAGCTAAAGAAAACTGACAGATTACCTTCAAAGGAGCAGCAGTAATGGAATTTGAAGACAGTGGCATGATGTTGTCAGTGTGCACAAGGAAATAGCTGTTGACCCTAGGACTTTATATCACGGGAAAATGTCCTTCAAGAATGAAGGTAAAAATAAATGTATTATCTGACAAACACAAACTGGGATAATTCACCACTCGTGGTTTCTCATTAAAATAAATTCTACCTGTAATCAGGTAGCAAAGAATGACCTCTGATGAAGTTCAAGAAGGGCTGATGTAGAAAGTGGCACATACTTGGATGACACTAAAGGACTTGTAGCTGCATAAGACCATGAGAATGATACCTGTGGAATTAAAATAATGGAAGTAAGTTATAAGTTAACAACAGCCGGGATAAAGGGATCCCTTCATAAAGTTAAAAGGTTCACTACTGCATCTGATTATATGACTTCAAAATAGTAAAGTAAATATTGACAGAACTTCAAGGAGAATAGGTAAATCTACCATCATGGCTCTTTCTGTGATAATCTCTTAAACTATTGATTTTATTTTTTGCACTTTTCTGTGTGTGTAGTGTCGAGTAATTACAAACTTTTTCAAACAAATCTATTAGGAATAACTTTTTGTCACTAAAAATTGTTTGGCAACACCAGTTTTAATTATAACTGGTTTTAAATTGACGTATTTAAAATTTGAAACTTTCATAGAAATCTGTTGCCTAAATATATATTGTTTATTTAACCCATTCTCAAATTTCAGACATTTAATTTTGTAAAATTATTTTTCTATTAATATAATTATGACCATCTTTATAGATAAGTTTTTGTGTAGATCCATGAGTATTTCCTTGAAACCAATTCTTAGGTATTTCATCATGGAGTCAAAATGTGTAAAGTTTTAAGGCCTTTGCCAAGTGGCTTTCCAGAACTCTATCTTTCTCAGTTCTCACAGTAGTATGTGAATAAGCATATGCATCTTATGTGAATAAATATCTAGTGCTACACCTCATCTGTTTTTTTTTTTTAGAAAGCAGGATTTATTGAGCGAACAGAAAAGCTCCCACAGTGGGAGGGCACCCGAGGAGGCTGCCCTACCCCTCATCATTTAAAAGCATTTTATTTGATGCTGGAAAAGATCTCATTTTGATTTGCATTTTCTTCATTGCTAGTGAGATTAAACATTTTCATAATTTTTTAAAAGTCCAGGATAGTTGTGTTTGCAGTTGTGTCTGTTAAATATCCAGTCTGCTGTTTAATTTTTTTCTATAAACAAATTAATCACATAACCAGATTTGGTGAGAATTGTATATTAATGGAGTCAGTTTGAGTCTGGATAAAATCTAATATGAGGGTCAAGGCATCTGAGCTTTGGGATTCTATGATTTAAAAGCCCTTTTCAGTAACTTCCAGGTTTGTAACTATTCTGTAGAAATGAGGAAACCCAGTGATGAATTTTTGCATAAACAGGCTACAATTAACGATATGACTAGTTTTTATAACTTCCTATGTATATATATATATAGAAATGATATATATATATCATTTAAAAACATTTTATTAGATGTTTTTATAAAGACTATTTTTTATAACTTCATATATATATATGTAGAATCTTGCTACAACAGATTCACTTTGGGCATGATTTTTTAAAAAGATACTGTGCTGTATAAAACTTCAGAACTATCTCCTTGTAGTCACTGATGCTTCTGAAACTAGTTTTTGGAATATGTTTACTGAATGCTAATTGCACCAGTATGTTGAGAATTTAGTTTGGAATGTCAAAATTTGGGACCAATGTGCCCACAATAAAACGTTTTGTTAGTGTTTTGGGGAGCGTCCTAATTTTTTTGTTTATTTGCTTCTAGAAACCACTAAGTTTTATATGACAGAGATAATTATACAGCCATCGGAGAGAAGTTTTCCCATCATACCAAGGTACAAATAACAAGTTAAGTTTATTTTGTAATTTCAAATGTAGGAAAATGGAAGTACAGTTGATCATTTGAGAATTCATTTTTATTCGTACCTTTCTTTATTTGGAAAGGGAAAAAAGAAAGCCTTTGAGAAAGGCGTTTAGATAGTTGTACCAAATCACCAGGTAAAAGATTTAAGGAATTACTTTTTTTACATTTCACTTATGTAGTGGTGTAGACTAATGTTTTCACATCCAGGTACTAAGGGCCCAACCTTGTAATTCTGAAAGGTTTTTGTATGTGTGTTTCTTTCTATGTGCCAAATATCCAGGATCTTATAACCTAGTCATCAATAGATTTCTGAATAATTTCTGTTTTTAATTTGTCCTATTTAAAATTTGAAACATTGATCAGTTTCAAATGACTTCTATTTTCATTTTTAAGTGTACTTAGCCATTAAATCTATCAGTGTTTATTTAAAATGTTTCTTTACTTTGAATCTTTTTAGTTTGCAGGCAAAAGTTAACTAAGATATGTCTTTATTCCAGTGTATTTACTGATATCCAAAAATTGTGGCTATCTGAACATAGCCTTGAATTTTATCCTTATGTAAATACCTTGATTTCATACCTCAGAGCTGATACTTTAAGGAGATTCAAATGGAAAAAATTGTAGACAATACTGCCTAATGTTTGGGAGGAAATTTCTCACCTTTTTTATCTTAGTTATTTACCATTTAATATGCTACAGCACAAATGAAATATTGACTTATTCTAACATGGTGTTTTTTTGATTCAGTGACTGGGAATAGTTAGGTTTGGTGTAGAAAATGTATTAACAATTGGAAAAAAGTTTTCAAAAAGAAAGGAGCAAACACAAACATGTTAAAATATATTAAAATCTACATTGGCACAGATTGTGAGAGAATGGGAGGTGCATGGAAAAGTCTGGCATGTTGATGTCCCTGTCTTTTAGGCACCCTGTGGGTAGTTTTGGCTGGCAGTTAGAGTTATTGTGAAACTGATTTCTGTTCATACAGGTCTCAGTTTGTCCAGAGCGTGATTGCCCAGTGTATGGTGGAGCTCTCCTCTGCCAGGAGCACATTTAGATTCACTATTCAAGGTCAGGACGGCAAGGTGTACATCTTGGTGAGAAATTATTTCATCTAGCTTTTTGTAGCCTAAGAATTAAAAGTCTCTAAAATTCCTTTTTTTTTTTAATTTTCAGATCTAGAAAATAAAATTTTTAATGTCAATGTAATTCATAAATCAAACCCCCTTAATTTAACACCAAATGATCAAATCCTCTATGTACTATGTACTAGGGATTCGGGGAGAAAGGAAACCTGGTTCCTGCTCTTTGGAAGCTCATACGACAAAATAAGGCTTTTCACTCTCAGTTTTTAATGGATTTTCTTGGTTAGCATAACACCCTTCTGCCTTACTCACTTCCAATTCTATACTTTTATGTTTAAAATACATTCTACTGCTCCTGTGGTTTTTAATTGTCTCTGACTCTTTGATATTTGAGAAATAGTGGCAAGTTTTGCCGAAGAGGCTCAGTGGCCAGCAGAATTATCCTAATGTGTTCCACAAGGATCTACTATTACACTATGGATATTAAAAAGAGTATAATGCAGAAACAAATTTTGGGCATTTGTCTGGAAATCCAGTTATGGCTTTCTTCTCTGCCTCCACATCTGTTTTATTCAGCCAGTAAACATACATTGAGCACTTTTTATTTGAAAAATACTGTCCCAGGTGCTTAAGGTAGAACAAAAAAGCCTTCATGGAACCCACAACATGATAGCAAAAAGGAGGGAAGCCCTTGGGGTTACTGTTAGGTATGGCTTTGTAGCGGGCCAGAAGTGTTACGGGGATCCCATGCTCTTCTAATTTCAGATAACTTCTATGAAAAGTTAAAATACTTGCTGGCTCATATTGACACTAAATATACTTCATAGTCCAAAGTCAGTATTAATTTTCTTTTATTGTAAGATTTTCAAGTTGAAAATCAGCAATAGGGACTTTTCAAACTTTCTAAAATATGTTTAGAATTAGACCTTTTCATTTTGTTAGAAGTAAAACATTCTTGAAACACATTCAGACAACGTGAAGAGTAGAAAGAAGTTGTTCCCTCCCCTCTCCTGCTGTATCATACTGTCCAGAGGTGATCAGTAGTAACCGTGCTTCAATGTTCCTTTCTGTCCTATAAGCTATCTGTATGTTTACACACAAGTATTTGTCTACTTGCAGGGGAAAAAAAAGTATCACACGTTCAGCATTTTTTTATAACATGCTTGCCTCACATAATATATCATGAGGGTTGTTTCTTACTAGTATCAATATATGTCTGGCTACTTAATAACTGGAATTCCACTGTATGGCTAATAAAGACAGTGCCACAGTTAAAATGATTTTTGTACATGTATTTTAGCACTTTTAAAACAATGAGTCTTTCTAATCTAATACAGTATTAGAACTTGTGTATTTTAAACTTGATAATTACTGCCTTCCAAGAAAAGGTGTACTCATTTGTCTTTTATGGTGGGCATTCTTGGTGCTCCACCCAGACCCCCTTGGCGGGATGGCGCTCCCATTCCCCGCTGCTGACAATGTTGGCTGTTAATGGCTCGCCGCTGTCCCTTTCTTCAGAGACTTGCCCTTTGGATGAAAGATGTTACCTAGCCCAGGAAGTTAGCTGTCCCCAACACCACCCCTGCCCTGGTCAGCTCGCTGCCAAGGATTTGATCCAGGCAGGCAGAAAGCTGGGGCCTCTTGTCTCAAGGTGGGACAAACTCTGTAGGAGGGGTTCTGGAACTTTCCATGGGATCAGGCTGCAGCCAGACTGCAGCTCAGCCCGAATCTTTGACTAGTGCTTTCCCTTGCCTTACCCCGTTTCCTTTCTTTCCTATCATCTGATGGTATCCCCTCGGTGAATACGTGCATTCACATCCCCGAATTTTCTTCACCAGTGAATGGTGGGCGGCCCACTTCAAACTCCTCATCTAAACTGGATGCTATCAATCATTTTATGTGTGCCAATCTGGTAAGTGAAGACTGGTGGCACAGAAATTTTGCATCTGCTTATTATTACTAGTTAAATTAGTATTTTAACATACATCTATCACTTATTTCTTCTGTTAATCCTGTTTGTATTCTTTGCCTGTATTTCTCTTGGGCTGTTTGACCCTCTTTTTAATTTATATTATAGCTAATAATTTTGTTATTTATATATTAAACTTTTTCTCCTAGTCAGTTGTCGTTTTTTCTTTTTGTTTTTAAAAACAAACTTTATGATGTTAGTCGCTCTACCAAATGTTATGCCTTGCAAGGCCTCTCCTACTTAAAAATTATATACATGAGTCTCCTTTTTTTCCTGGTATTTTTTAATAGGTTTTTTGGTTTTGAGTGGTGATAAGATATGAATAAAGAGCCAGTGTCCTGATACTTGGACTTTCTCTCCATATCTTTAGCTATGGCTTTTAAACTCAGACAGTTTGGTGATTGAATCTCTGAGAAGTTCCAGACATTTCAAAAGATTTCCGCTGTTGGAAGACGCGTTGAAAACAGATGCCGTTTCTGCCTGGAATGCTGTCAAGGTGCTCTACCAGCCATGCGTCAAGAGCAGGAATGAGAAGTGAGTTCGTTTCGGTTTTCTCATTCCACACTGTTTTAGCTTCTGTTGCCATGTTGGTGTTCAGAAATTAACAAATTTAGTGGTGGGCACCACTTCCCTACTTGGAGCTTCTAGGAGTCACCATGCTAAATATTATGCTTCTAAAATAGATTGAATTACTAGATGACTTATGTTAATATGCAGACAGTACACTTTTACTGAGAAGAATTGGTCTTTTCCTTGTAATTTGAGTTGTCCTTGCATAGGGTGGCAGCACTAAATGTTAAACAACTTATGCACATTTACTGATAAGCACATTCCAAGCAAAGCGCAATCCCTACCTCCTGGGGTTGCCATTCTAATAGGGGGAAGACAGACCGGAAACAAAGACAAAACAAGAAGACTTGTGTGTCCCATGCTAGTGTTGGGCCTTCCCGTAAGAACTTCCGACTCATTTAAGCCTGACGATCCTGTGGGGTAGGTACTCTTTTTACCCCCACTTTGGTGATAAGAACACCAAGACACAGGTGTAAATTACTCTAATGGAAACGAAGCAAGGGAGCAATAGGATAGGTGTATAAGGTTATTGCATATTGGAAAGTCAAGGAAGGTTCCTCAGACGAGGTGATATTTAAGTGGAAAATGTGGAGGGTGTGAATGTGAGCCATGTTTGAGGGAAGATCATTCCCAGCAGCCGGAACAGCAGGTATTCTTGTTGGAGCAGATTGAAAGTTTACACTTGTCCTGTACTCTTAGATAGGTTTGATAAAATTTGTACTAAGAACAGAAGGATCCTAGTCTTTTTCTAAGAAGGAAATCAGACTTTAAAAATACATATATATGTCATGTGCGGTGGCTCACACCTGTAATCTCAGCACTTTGGGAGGCAGAGGAGGATTGTCTCAACCCAGGGGTTCAAGACCAGCCTGTGCAACCTGGCGAGACCTTGTCTCTACAATAAATTAAAAAATTAGCGAAGCATGATAGCTTGTACTTGTAGTTTCAGCTACTTGAACGACTGAGGTGGAAGGATCACCTGAGCCTAGCGGGTCGAGGCTTCGGTGGCCGTGAGTGTGCCATTGCTCTCAGGCCTAGGCAACAGAGTGAGATACCAACTCTCTTTCTCTCTATGTATATAGAGTTGGTGTCTCAATATAGCTTTTCTTTTTTTTTTAATGGCCATACCCTTTGACCTAACATTATATAATGTTAATCCAGTAATAAAAATATTATTTTAAAAAATATACAAGTAGTACAAACCATAAAAAACTCAAACACCAAGAGATGTATATAAAGTAAAATATAAGGCTGGGCATGGTAGCTCATGCCTATAATCCCAGCACTTTGGGAGGCCAAGGTGAGAGGATTGCCTGAGCCCATGGGTTTGAGACCAACCCAGGCAACTTGGCGAGACCTTATCTCTACAATAAATCAAATAATTAACCGGGCATGGTGGTGTGTGCCTGTAGTTCCAGCAACTTGGAAGATTGAGGTGGAAGGATCACTTGAGCCAAGCAGGTTGAGGTTGTGGTGGCTGTGAGTTTGCCACTGCACTTCAGCCTGGGCGACAGAGTGAAATTCCAACTTAAAAAATAAAAAAATCAGATAAAATATGAAAGTTCTCCATCATGCCCCTCTTCAGAAATAAAAAAGTTTGTTATGTATTCTTTCATTCCTTTTTCTATTAATTTTGAATCTTAGTGTATTTAGACTGATACACATGTGTTTTTTGCACTTAAAAAAGAAGGCTTTGTGTTTTCTAGGTCAGTGCTTTGACATTTTATGAAATGAAGGTACTGTAAATTATTTAACTATTTTTCTATTGGTGAATATTAAGTTATGGCCTTTTTGCACTTATGATGCATATTATACTGTATATAGTTAAAAATTTGTTTTTTGATATGTAAGTTTTTTTCTTAAAAATTTCCAGAGGTATAATTTGTTGAGTCAAAGAGTATAGACATTTAAGATTTTGATGAACAATATTAAATTGTTTTATAAAAAGGTGTTGTGAATTTTTACTCCTACCTGAAGTTTCTGTAAATGCCTATTTTTGTGCACTTTCACACAAATTTCCTTAAAATTTTTGCCTCTCTGACGTCAGTATAAAGAAAACAGGTTCAGTTCACTATCGTTACTTTTTATTGAGGCATTATCATGGTATGCTTGTGTGTCTTACGCATTTGACACTTTCTGTTGAAGTTTTTCTTTCTTTTGGTCACCTAATGTATTGCTGTTCATTAATTATATTCTCTGTTGACTTTGTGTGTGTATGTGAACCTTATATGTTTAGATTTTATATAGTCAAGTTTATTAAAATCCTTTATACTTATTTTTTATGTTTATGTGAAATGTGGACTTTTGTGAATGATTTGTTTGTTTGTTTGTTTGTTTGTTTTTTGATTTTTTGGGTTTTTTTTTTTTGAGTTGGAGTCTTACTCTGTCGCCCGACTGGAGTGCAGTGGCCGCTCCCGGCCACCGCAGCCTCGACCTGCTGGGCTGCGGCAGTCATTCCGCCTCAGCCTTCCAGGTAGCTGGAATTACAGGCGCGCGCTACCACGCCCAGCTGATTTTTGATTTATTGTAGAGATGAGGTCTCTCCAAGTTGCCCAGGCGGGTCTCGAACCCGCGGGCTCAGGCAATCCACTCACCTCAGCCTCCCAAGGCACGGGATTACAGCCTGAGCCACCGAGCCCGGCTTGTGAATGATTTGTTAAAGCTTACACTATGACTATAGATTTAATTTTATTTTTTTCTGGTTTTGCTATAGTTTTGCTGATATCAAATATATTTTGAAGTTGTATTATTAACTACTTAAGGATTTATAGCATGACAACTTGACTGATTACATACTTTGTTAATAGGAAATTTTGCTCTTCTTCCATTTGATGCTATTTTTCCTTTCATTCTGATTGGCCTGATGTTAATATTGCTAGTTGACTTTTTAAAAAACTGTTGATTTGCTACATCTTTTTGTATGTCTTTATTTTCACCTGTCTTGTAACATTTTATCTTAGATGTATACCTCATTAACAAACACCTTGTAAACTGCATGCAGCTAGATATCTTAAAAATCTGGTGTGAGACGCCATTTTAATAGTGAATTTAATTAATTAACTCACAGTTATTCTGATTGTTGATAGAATTGGATATAGTCTGCTATCTTTTAGATTGGTTACCTTGTCTGTGCCATTTCTTTCCTTTGATAATTTAAAAGGTAAAAAAAAACACCTTTTTTAAAATTCAAACTTGTTCTTTAACGATCAGTATTTAGACGTAATTAGTATTCTTACTCTTCACTGGGACAAGAAAAGACTTAGGGTTTCTTGTTCCCTCTCTCAACTACTCCCTTCATCCGAGGTTCTGATGGTAGTGTTCTTTGTCCTTGAAGAAATATCAAGCCAGGCCTGGCGCTTGCCAGTGCCGGGTCTGGTCCTCCTAGTGTCTCTGCTATGAGGAAAGTTGTTCTGCAGGCCCAGCTGGAGGCTGAGCTCAACCACATGAAAGCTTCCCAGGCAGCTGCAGACTTGAAGCAGTTCTGTCTGCAGAATGCCCAGCATGACCCTCTGCTCCCAGGAGTGTCTTCAAGCACAAATCCCTTCAGACCCCAGAAAGTCGGTTCCTTTTTGTAGTAAAAATCTTTTCAAAGGTTCCGATATACTCCTTAAGAACCAGTGAATTTCCAAAAGAGAGCTAAATTTGAAGCCTGTGCAAAAGCTTATTCCTGTAACGCATGTGCCGTAAAATACAGACTTCTACTTTTGGCAGTCCTTAACATCTGCTTCTCTGAATTTTCATGAATTTCTATGTCACAAGGGTAATTATTGTGTATACACTGGCAGTAGCATACAATAAAATGTGTAGTAGATTTAAAAAAGAAGTATCAAGCCAAAGCCTTACCTATTTCCTTGTCTCTTACTCTCATGCATGATGGCCATGAATATTCTTATTTTTTATTGTATATTTCCTTAAAAAATATAGTGTTGTTTGATATGTTATAAAAATATTGATGAATAGTTATACTTATTTTACAGTTTGTTTTTTTCTTTCTTTTTTTTTTTTTTAAGTTGGAGTCTTACTCCGTCACCCAGACCGGAGTGCAGTGGCCGCTCCCAGCCGCTGCAGCCTTGACCTGCTGGGCTCCGGCGATCCTTCCGCCTCAGCCTTCCGAGTAGCTGGAATTACAGGCATGCGCTATCATGCCCGGCTGATTTTTTGATTTATTGTAGAGATGAGGTCTCCCCAAGTTGCCCAGGAGGGTCTCAATCCCGCGGGCTCAGGCAATCCACTCACCTCAGCCTTCCAAAGCACGGGATTACAGGCTGAGCCACTGAGCCCGGCTAGTTTGTTTTTTTCACTTCATATTCTTTGTTTTAGTTTTTACTTTGATGAAACACACGTGTTTATTTATTTATTTATTTATTATAAACCTGTGGGGTACAATTCAGGGTTAGGTATAGAAATGTTGATTATGCAGATGCCCTTGTTGATGAGGTGTGCCCCTCCCTCCCCTAGCAGTTTCCCTCAACTGCCACTACCAACCCCCTCCCCTGACAGTTTCCCCCTATTGCCAATCCCTTTCTTATAGTATTATGATAATTATTCAAGGTTCAATTATGAGTGAAAATGTATGGTGCTCTGTTCTTTGCTTCTGTGATAGATCCCTGAGTATGATCAACTCTAGATCCATCCAAGTTGCTGCGAAGTCCATATGTTTGTCCTTCTTTGTGGCTGCATAATATTCCATTGTGTATGTGTGCCACATTTTTTTTATACAGTCCAGCGTCAGTGGGCAGCATGATTGGTTCCATGTTTTTGCTATTGTGAATACAGCTGCAACAAACATACGTGTGCAGGTATCTTTTTTGTAGAATGATTTGAGTTCCTCTGGGTATATTCCCAATAGGGGAACTGCTGGGTCACATGGAAGGCCAATTTCCAGTTCTTTCAGAAATTGCCACGCTGTCTTCCAAAGAGGTGGCACTAGTTTGCATTCCCACCAGCAGTGTAGAAATGTTCCT